CAATTGTTTGGCTTAACACCATCACTATTGTTGGAAAAATAATCGAGTGATGACTTTTGATAAGTGTAGTTTCTACACTTATTTGGGATCTTAAATGATGATATTTTGTTATTCTTTAAAGGGATTAGTACTTGATTTGTTATTTATTGCTTTTATTAGAAAAAATTCATATTTCAAAGAATAATTGGAAAAAAGAATGGAAAATGGCTAAATGAAGCAAATACAAAGTATGAGGACGAAAGTATAAATATATAATGGTTGATTTGGACCACAAAAGATACTTTGAAGATTGATAGGAGTCAATTGAATGCAAATTGGAGTAAAAAAGGAAAGGGATATGATTAGAATATTACCAAAAATCGACTTCCAATCATATAGAATATTTTCATAAATTTTGGTCAACTTGAGACCCATTTTTCGGATGAAGAACGTTTGAATTGGAAAAATTGTAATTCTAGAAGAATTGTAGATCTTTTAATTAGCTTGAATCATCTGAATCAGACACCAAAAAAGAAAGTTATAATCAAAATACTGAAAACTGTATAGAGACAAAATTATGTGCGCGTGAAGGTAACTTTTCTTATTTGATTCAAACTCTTTTGAAAGACAATTTGGACATGAATTTTGACATAGTTTCATCATATGGGTAGCAATGAAAGGGTCTCTCTCTTACCTCTTCATACACAATAGTTTCATCAAATTCATCAAGAACAAAGGGCCAATTGCTATATTTTGAGAGAGAAGATCAAGTCATAGCAAGGAATTAAAATTCAATTACATCAAGTTTTGAAGAATTCAACTTTGGATGCGAAGATCAACATCTTTTGTATTCTTTCATGATCTGGGTGATATTTTTCTATTATTCTTCTTGTAACTTATATATTAATATGCTAGTCTAGTTTTTCATTGTATTGGATGAGATGAACCTTATTATTTATTTATTTTAATTCAAGACAAGTATTTAGTTTAATTCGTGTATTACATGATTAATTTTGCATTCCCATTACACTATTGAATTGTCTGGCCATCAATTGAATAGTTAGTTACTTGTTGTAGTGTAGGAATACTCACAACGAGTCTAGAACACGGCAAAATTAACATATATAGTTAGGATTAGGAATAATATCTATCATACATGCAATCATATTTATAACTTAAACTAAATGCATGATTTTCATATGAATTCGGACTAAAAATAGGATCGGATCGTGTTAATCATAGGTTGGTATATCTTGAAAAAGAACATTTAACATATTAGTGTTATCAATTGTCAAGAAATCGTGAAAGAAATTAGATTACAAATCAATAATTGAAATGAATAACAATAGGAAAGTCAAAATCCAATACAATCCTCCATAATTTGATAAAACCCCAATTTTTATTGCTTTCTTAGATTAGTTTAGTTTAAATCAAATCAAAATATTTATTTTGTTTTCATAACTAGAATTCCATACGAAACTAGTAAACTTGAATTAGATTTATTCTATGTGGAACGATAACTCTTAACTCACTTATTATTACTTGTCAACGATCTCGTACACTTGCGGGTATCACACAAATAAGTTTTTGGCGCCGTTGTCGGGGAATAAAGTTTTAGTTTGAGTTTATTAGTTTACATTGGATTTGAATTTTTTATTATTATTTTTTTGTTATTTTAGGCTTTAATCGTGATACCTAATTTCTTCTTATTTTACTCTTAAAGCTTTTACTAGATCTCAAAATCGAAATGACCTTTAAACAATGCTAAGAGAACTAAGAAGAACGAGGGTGGTGGCTAAGAATCAAGATCAGATTCAAAATGCACTGCATAATGCAGCACTTCAGGTTCAACAACCACCTCCAGCTCAGCCTATATTGGTTAGAGATTATGTGAATCCAGTACCTGCACTAATTCGACCTCCTATTGTCTATCCACCGTTCGGACAAGCAAACTTGCACATCTGACCAGGTGTCATAAATCTTTTCCAGAATCATCAAGACATCAAGGTTAGCGGGAAAGCTACGAAAAATCCACATGAACATATTCAACCTTTTACCATGCTTTGTGAAGTCATTAGCCATGAGGAGATGTCACAAGATGCATTTTGAATGCGTTTATTCCCTCACACTTTGAAGGAGGGTGTGAAAATATGGATGATGTCACAACCTCCTGGGAGCATCGTATCGTAGAATGACATGGTACAAAAATTTACCATGAAATTCTTCTCACCATCTCGAGTCCACCAAATTAGAAACGAAGTATATCTTTTCAAACAGAAGGATCATGAGACATATTCGGAAGCATGGGACAGGTTCAAAAGTGCGTTTAGGAAATGTCCAAATCTTGATGTTCATAAACTGGCACAAATATATCTATTCTATAATGGATTGCGCGCTGAATTTCGCAATATAGTTGATTCTTCTGCGGGTGGATCAATTTTGACTATCGAGGTGGATGATGTACATAATTTATTTGAGACGATTGCTGAGAATCAGGCCAACTGGCTAACAGATAGGAAAGCTCCGAGAAAAACAGCTGGATTACATAATGTGGATGCAGTGACAGCATTGGCAGCGCAGATGGAAGCAATAACAAAGAAGCTTGATACTTTAACTCAATTTGTGCACATGGTACAACATCCAGCTCACATATGCGCAGGTTGTGGGGCAGATCACATCACTTCAAGCTACCCTTTGGCTTCTACTCACATGGGTCAGTCAGCAGAGGTCAGTTGTGCGCAGAACTATCAGAGGCAAAATGGATCTTACCCATACAACTACCATCCGAGTTTGAACAAGCATCCCAACTATTCGTGGGTGGATAATCTAGATCAAATAAATCAGATGAAGGGCAATCCACCAGTAATTCAGCAACAGCAAGGTAAGAGGCAATCCTTTGAAGATCTACTGGTCACGTACATCACCAAGACTGAAACAGTAATGCAGAATCAACAGGCTTCCATACATAACCTAGAAAATCAGGTAGGACAGATAGCAGCTGCATTAGCCAACAGACCACAGGGTACCTTGCCGAATAACATAGAGAATAACCCAAGGGAGCAGGTATTAGTAGTTGAGGCGGTAAATTATACAACTATTGAGATCCCATCTACCACATCCACCACCACTGTCAAAGCTTATGTGCCACCCATTCCATTTCCTCAAAGACTTCAATGCCAGCCAACAGCAGAGTAGGTTCAGGCCATCACTATTAGGAGTGGCGTTCAATTACCAGAAATCACTGTAAAGAGGAAGGAGTCAGAGAGAACTCAAATGCCTACTAACGATAAGGAACCGATGGAGCAATCTGAAGAAGCAATAGAAAAGGACCAACAGACAGTTTCAGACAATCCACAGCTTAAGGCAAATGTTCGTGGCACTGCACTGACACCTCTAGTCCCTTTTCCTGAAATGTTACAGAAGACCAATTTAGATAAGCAAGCTATGAAATTTCTGGAAATCCTCAAAAAGTTGCATCTCAACATCCCATTCATTGACGCCATCCTTCAAATCCCAAACTATTCTAAGTTTTTGAAGGAAATGCTGACTAAAAAGAGGAAAATACCCGAGCATGAAACAATAACACTATCTGAAGAGTGCAGCGTGATCATCCAGCACAGGATCCCTCCCAAACTTAAAGATCTAGGGGGTTTCACTCTACCTTACTCCATAGGAAACTTACAAGGTATTAATTGATTCAGGAGCAAGTATTAACTTAATTCCTTTGCCTCTTTACAGGAAATTGGGATTGGGAGATCTCAAGGCAGCTTCTATCTTCCTTCAGCTGGCGGACCAAACATTGAAACATCCTTATGGAATAGTCGAGGACATGCTCATCAAGACGGGAGAATTTATTTTTCCAGCTGGCTTTATCATTCTAGACATAGAAGAGGCATCCCAAATTCCAATAATACTAGGAAGGCCATTCCTGTCAACAAGTCGGGGCACTACTTGATTTTGATACAAATAAGATAGTCCGGAGGGTGGAGGATAAGCAATAAAGCTTCACCATGGAGAATCCAATCAAGCAACCATCATATTTTGAGGATTGCCAACGAGTTGATCACTGGGAGAGTTACAAAGGCCGGCCAGATATAGGTGGAATTGTTGGTAGGGATAACAATGGAAACTTGATCATGTGGCGGATGAAAGATGAAAGAAAGAAGTGCAACCAGTACTTAAAATGCAGGGCTGAAAATTCTCTTTTTAAGCCACCATGAAAAGCCTAAAAGCAACAAAGTCTAGCTAAAGACCATAAATTAAGCGCCTGTTGGGAGGCAACCCAATATTTCTATCCATTTTATTTTATTTTATTTTATTTTACTTTACTATAATTAGAATAGCTTAAGATAATTTAGATTAATTTTTATTTTAGGGACT